AAATTCCTTTCCTTGAACAACCTTCTGAATCCATTTCAATCTGGTTTCCGTCCCGGTCATAGTACGACTACTGCACTTGTCAAGATTGCTGATGATATTCGCGCAGGAATGGAAAATCGGCAGCTCACCATACTGACGTTGTTAGATTTCACTAATGCATTCAACACTGTTGATTTCGAAATTTTGCTAGCAACGCTGGTTTCTCTCAATGTATCTCCACAGGTGATTGGTTGGTTTCGTAGTTACCTGTATGGGCGACGGCAACGCATATGTGTAGGAGATATTCTCTCAGATTGGTGCGTTACAACAGCCGGAGTTCCACAGGGTGGCGTTTTGTCTCCGCTTCTATTCTCTATTTTCATTAATTCAATAGCCCTCCCTCTATCTTCTTCCTATCACATGTATGCAGATGATTTCCAAATTTATAGCCAATGTGCGTTGGAAGAAATACCCACTGCAATTACCATTATTAACAATGATCTTGAACATATATCTGATTGGAGTCGGCGTCATGGTCTGTTAGTCAATCCTCTAAAATCTCAAGCGATCATCATTGGAAGTCATTGGTATCAGGCTAGGTTAAATTATGATACACTGCCACCTATCTTAATAAACGGCAATCGTATACCTTTCACTCAGTCTGTAAAAAATCTTGGTGTCATATTTGATTGCAATATGTCTTGGAGCCTTCATGTCCGAGAGGTTAGTAGGAGGGTATTTGGTGCATATAGCTCACTTAAGCGACTTAGGAATCTTTTGCCGACTAAGACTAAAATCACTCTTGCTCAGTCACTTCTTCTCCCTTTGCTTGACTACGCTGATTCATGTTATAAAGACCTAAGTGTCGTTTTCCTAAATAAACTTGAGCGACTGCAGAATTTGTGTATCCGTTTTGTCTTTGGTCTACGTAAGTATGATCATATTTCTGATTATCGTACCCAACTTCAGTGGCTACCTATCTCTCGTAGAAGAGACTGTCATATCCTATCACTCCTATATTCCATCCTGTTTCACCCACACACACCGCATTACCTCAAAGAGCGCTTCGTCTTTCACTCTACGAATCTTACCCGAGATCTGCGGTCTTCCTATAATTTATCTTTAGTCATGCCTTCCCACAATACTGATTTCGTAGCCAAGTCATTTACAGTTAAAGCAATCAAACTATGGAACTCTCTGCCTATAGATATCAGACGCGCGCAATCACGGAACTCATTCAATAAATTGATAAAAGAATATTTCCTCAATCTGGACTATTCCTCTTGAACTTCCAATCTATTACTTTACTATCGTAAGTTTTATTTATATATTTGCACTTTATACGTTCTCGTGTGTTGTTTCCCCTATTGCACTAACCCGCAGTTAATTTTTCTTTATTGGTATCATTTCCTTTAGCCTAGGGTCGCCTGGTAGAGATTGCTACCTTAGCAATAAGGCCGCCTTTTGTGTTACTGAATCTAGTTTTATGTACCTTTCTTACTGTATTTCATAGTGCAATAAAGAATATTCAATCAAAGAATATTCAATCAATCATACATACATACCGTTTGTACATTATATTACAGTTGTATATTTTCCGAGGTGATCGCTCTTAAGGGCAATAACGGTCGTGTTGCGGTCAGATCCATAATTAATAAACGGCAAACATTTAGGCAATAGATGCCAAGTTGATTCCTTACTTGATTAACTAAATTGCTTCAATGCTAAATGTATTGAATTTACATTATTCCACTTGCCCCGCCTTAAAATTAAGCGATGATTAAAAAACTATATATATTTCAGCTTTGTGGTGAAGATTATCTTTTTTTCTTTTGATTTCCTTAAGAGTTCACCACCGAAAGAATAACTGGTGTTATTTTGAAGGTCTGCTATTCTATATCGCCAAATCTAAAAGAAGGTTGTATGTATATACTCGTATATACGTAAACTCAAACCTCTTTAACGCCATGGGTGCAATTAGAATAAAAAATAACGTCATTTGTTATTTTCTTGGCTCAGAATAATTCATTGTACCGCACAATTTTGTGTATTATAATAATAATTTTGCGCTAATAGACGCATAAAATACGTACAGTAGACCATACTAATAGTGACTGGTGTCAGCTGGTAAGTTCCAGTCCCGGTGGTACTCATAAGCCGGTAAGTACTTTCTATTGTATCGGAGTTCCATCGCAGATACTCTTGGAACGATGTAATCTTCCTTTAGTGTTTTTCCTTTCGTGCTTCTTTGAATTTAAACTAACCACATTTTCAATTAAGCTCCCGCGTAAGATGTCGACTATTTACATGCCACCTCACCGTTTCGTCTAATACTTGTACGTGAAAATAGATTCACGTATAATTCGTTCGACTTATTATGACACCCAAGTGCCTATTCTATATGTGCTCAAATAAAAAAAATGAAAATTTCGAATTGTTCTCGTATTTTTGTGAAAATCATGTCCGTGAAAATTATCTGTGTATCAGAGGATGTGTTACCTCCATTGCATCAAAAATTATCTAAAGCATTTCGAAAGTCGACAAAAATGCGTTCTTAGAGAATTAGAATAGGCCTTCATGTGTCATGTTAATTCTGTAGTAGTAGCCTGTGCGTAGTGGGTGTGTCCGCATAGTTAATGATTTCTCAAATTTTCACGTTAACACTGTAACGCCACCTCTCAATACCTCTTCCGACACAGGGCTCGATAGTGTGTTCTAAATGATTAAGCAATTTCTCATCCATTTACTTAATTTTATTTGTTGGTTGATTTTCCAGAGATTTAAACATAAAATTATTACATTCCTCTACTTAAAGATAAAGTTATTAGTTTTGAATAGCTACAGGTTTTAATAATGTTCATAGATGCCAGGAAGACCTGCTCCTAAAACGAAATTATATTTTATTAATAAACGATATATCAGTCTTTCTAGGGTTTAATTAACGTACAATGTTACACTATAGTAATTAAAGTTTAGAAAGATATATAGTTTCAAAACTAGCGATTGAGTAGGTAACAGAAAATTTCGTGTAATAAGATTAAATTTTCTTGATAACTAGTGGTTGCATAGATTAAATTTAATTCTTTGGATAAGTCGGATGTAGACAGAGACGCTATGTTACTACAATACGTTTTTCTCAGTTAATTTTGAGTTCTACCCGCCATAAGGATGATGACTGGGTAAAAAAAATGCAATTCTATTTAGTCCGTCAGTCAAATAATAGAAAAATATTAGATACGTATTTTTTTTACTTCAATTTAACAAAAAATAGTATAGATAACAGGCATTAAAGCTGAGAAGTGGGGGCTCGCTACGTCACAGTTGAGTAGAAAACGTACTCTAACGTGACGTCATGCGAAATTTCAACTCAATGTAACGCCGTAATTTTATGATTACGAAAAAAATAAAAAAATACGTGTTTAATATTTTTTAACACTCTACCTGACGGACAAACAATCAAAAATTAGTCATCATCCCTATTAGTTAAGGACTAAAATCAAGCGGATAAAGTTGACAGTTTTACATAACCTGACCTGTTGTAGAAATGGTGTTACTATTAACTTGAAATAATTCTGATTAGGTACGTCTTCGAGACTATTCAATGCAAATAAACAATTAAACGTTTCAAAGTCAAAATAAATCTTTATTCAAATAGACTTCTTAAAAGTACTTTTGAATCGTCCAACATTTTTTTCCTACCGCTCGTTCATGATGTCTTTTTTATAATTTTGAGTTTTAATGAGTTTAGAAGAAATCATTCAGTTGTTGGACCATTTTAAGTCCAAGCATTCTTTTCTGTTATATAATCAAATAACTTACAATAAACTCTTTAAATAATTCCTTTTTAATAGTATATTTAACCTGGATTTAATTTATTTTTATTTTACTTGGGACATTATTGTAGAAGAGCTCACAAAGACCCCTGAATGAATGAGTTTCATTTTTTTAATATGAGTATATATTTGAGTAGGAAACCTATATCAAGTATAGTTCATGTGACAAAATGGCATTCTTTTTTCTTTATAAATCCGGTAACATATCTACAAATACTTCTAGGTAGCTACCAAGTCAGTTACTTGAACGAATTACTTGACTTGGATCTAAGTAGGTCCGAGTTATTAATCATAGGTCTATTTAAATCGGTCATCTCAATCGATATCATATATTTATTAAAGTCAAACTCTCCAGAAATAAAAATATAAGACATAGGAAACACGGTAAGTTAGTTCACTACAAGCATAGAGGTAAGAAACCGAATATGGAATGAGTGAATGAATGATGGAATATAACTGTAATAATATTAATTACATGTTTGTTCACAGGTTTTGTTCACAATTTGCATAATAAAATCAACCAACGTAAGCGGTGCGTAAGGTATCCCTTATACGGTTCTTGAATATCATGTTTATTCATCATATTCTTCATGTTAATTATAATCAGTTAATTCTAGAAAATTTATTTAAAGACTGTTATTTATCACGAATAGTTATTTGTTATTAATCAAAATAGAATAGCTTCAATAATCTTTTTTAATAGCGTAGTACACACAGAACTACTTCGAACCTAACGTTTACCACTAAATGTCCAATTAACATCATATCTCTACTACCAACACATTAAGTTGAAAATGATATTGGGTATAGCTCGATGCGCTGTTGACTGCACAATTATATACAGTCAACAGCGCATCGAGCGATATTAATAAAGCGCTCTCCACCTTAACTTATAAATGCTTATAGACGTTACGAATATTAAAACATCTCTACCTAACTTCCCCCCCCTTAATTTCTGTAAACTTTACAATTTAAACTTAAAGCTCGACCATGTATCACGTTTGTAAAAGCCTAACCAAGCTAATCATTTGGTAGAGTAACTTATATCTAATCAGACGTCCAACAGGCGGATAAAATAAATGTTGGCGCGGTTGAGGGTGTGGGAGTGGGACGCCACTCGAACTGCGACCGTCACACGGTACGCACGTCTATTGTGTTAGTGAAGCATGTGTCAGTGAGGACGACGCAATGAAGGGTCGACACCAGTTCCGTCGCCGTTTCAGTCTGCAGCCCTCTTTTATGAAAGAGGAGCACGAGGAAGAGAGGCGTCCTCACAGGTAAATCACACTTAACTGCTTTCCTTAAAAAGTAAACAGAACTTTTGTTGTTACAGAAACGTTTACTAACTTGTTGAACTTTTGAGCGTTTCGTAATTGCTTACAACGTAATATTAAGAGATAATATAAAAGATTTATATTTAAATTGTAATTAAATATTTATTGGGGTCGAAACATTGATCAAACGCTTTTATACATTTTTTTGTGTAATGACACTTTTGAAAATCATTTCAGTTCGTAGTTAATCACGAACATGGAATAAAAAATTAAATGAATTTGTTTTTGTGCTCTAACTGATAAACAAACTCATATTCTACATAATCGAGTGTTACTTCGCGGAAGTTTATTGCAGTTACTGTAAAGTTACGATATGTAAACTTCCATACACTGATAAAATAATAAAATAACATCTAATATTATGATTCATATAAAAAACATGAGAGCAAATCTATTATTTTTTTAGTTTTCTTAGTTACCTTTAAGAATCGAATAATATCTTATGAATTATTATTATATGTGAACAAATTTGTATTCACAATGCTATGTTGAAAAATGATTAAAAATCCACGTTGTCCCTGGTATTCTGTGATTGCCAGGGACAAAGTGGATTTTTTAAAGTATTTTTCATTAAGAATATTAATCTTAAATATGTGTATATATATGAATATTAAAGTTTATTTTTTGTTTGCTGTACTTGATACTTTTTTTTAATCAATGAAAATGATAGATAAGTGCTAAAAAAACATTAATTTGAAGTTTTATAGACAGAGGCCGATTAATAATTTAATAACTTCACCTAGCGATTTAACCGATACCTTGGCTGGTCATTTATCTATTGAATTCTAAATTTATCAACCGTCACATTACTAGAGCCAAACAAATTAGGATATTACTTGTAGTAAAATATTTAGATATTAGGCCATTAGCAAGAAAATTCTTAGGGGTACGGGTATCGAATTTGTATCGAGCACATTGTGTAATTTTTCTGTATTTTTGCAAAGAGCCACTAAAGTAGTAAAGCCATACTATGAAAAAAATAGATGTTGTGCACGGGCGTGCTAAAAGTTCCGTTAAAACTAAAACAAATGGCAATAATCCAACAAAATATAATTTTTCGAAATAAAATCCTTTGAAAATCCTTTAATAATCACATAATATTCGTAAGCGATTATCGTGTTTATGCTTCATGATCCTGTCCGAATTATGATATTTATTCTTGTAATTCTGTATCGGCGGCAAAAAATTCCGCGCGGTAAATTCTTTGAATTTATACGGATTGAACACGATGTGGTGTATATTTATTCACGCGCAAATTCAAATTCAATTTCGTTTATTGAGTCTAGGCTTATAAGAACTTGGACTTTCTACTGAAAATAATAGAATAGAGAGAAATCAACAAGGACTGCTTTTACAATTTATATGAAAAAATAATATTTTGTACAAAGTAACTATCACTATGTCCGCGGAAAAAATTGAGGCAAATCGCTCAGTCGTGCATTAACTCAATAGAATTTATTTTTAAGTTCACCAAATTATAGATAGCACTATCAATACCATTTTAATGTAGTAATTTTTTTATTAGGCAGACATTTGCCATAGTTTTAAAAGCGATCCATTTGTAGTGGTCAAAGCGTCATGACCTACTTCTTCTTGTAGACTTCTTCTTGGGTGTTTTCCGCAACTCGACACTTGGTGTCTATTTTGCGGGCAAACAGTGGAGGCCTTAGTCCTACCACCCCAGTTCCTCCAAGAAGGATTGTATTTTCTTGATGTCTTTGCAAGTGTCCAGTAGTGTCTTTGGGCTGCCCAGGTGTGCAATTCGTTGTCAATATGACTTAAGAGAGGAAAAGCAATGAAAAATGTTGCAAAAACGGGAAGACACGCTGGCGGGTACTAGGTATATATAAATCGGTAAACTGTTAAAAGCAACAATAAATCGTATATAAGAACTACTGTGGATAATATATTATGATTGCTAATGTTGGAAACTATACAATCAACTATAAATAATGGTGGAATAATGATTCTTCGATCTTTAACTGAATATATGTCGGCTTCAAACCAATTTGTTACAGTCAACAATAGTTAAGCCATTATGTTAAAAACAGCCTCGTAGTCGACGTCGAGGATAGCGCTGTGACAGTATAGAGTTACAATAATATAATAAAATATTACCTTGATATTGGTTTTATTTGATTAAATCTTTATGTTTGACGTCGAGGTAGGGGCTTCCTAACTTTCTGCCAGCGGCTTCGTCCACATTGTTCATAGGAAACCGTTCAGTGAGTTAAATAGTTAAAGTGTAACAAACATGCACACGAACAACATATTAATAAGAAACGATTTAAAATATTAATAAGAAACTCAGGATACAAAGGATTTTCGGTTCGATTTGAAGGTTTACATGCTTACATTTCAAGTTATTTTTATTTTTAGATAATAATGAGTAAAGGTTTAAATCCAAAAGAGGTAGGCATTATTATGGAATACCGAATTATATCGTACACAGTAGAAAATACAAAAGCTAACTTTCTAAAAGCATAAAACAACTCAACTTGTAGAAAATATTCTTAATTACTGAAGTTTTTTAAGGAGACTACGTAAATTATTTCTTGTTTGGAAGTTAAAATGTATGTTTAATATTTATCCTCTAATAAGAAGTAGCTAATTTTATAACAGTTACAAAATTGTTTTGTAAAATGTTATTAACTTAATCAATACACGTTTAAATAGATTATACAATTTAAATTAAAATAATAAATCATTATTTTACGTGAGAAAAAATATACTTACTCAAGACTTAAAACATCCTCTCAGGTATAGGAGTGCTGTTAGGCCACCGATAAATACTTTTTGCAATAATATCTTTTCTATGAGACTTTTATGTAAAATAACACACAAGCCTTCATACTAAAATTCTAAAAGTGCAGTTAAAAATAAAAAGTGTGACAAATAGCTGAAAGATTTTTATGCAGCACTAAAACTACAGTAGCTTTAAAAGATTTAAACCAATTTTTACTGCTTTTGTTCGCAATTCCATCTGGTATGCGCAATTCCATCTGTATGTGACATGCATTATGAATAACGGAAAAGTGTATTCTTTAAATTTGAAAATAAAAAGCTACCGAAACACCAAATCACTGTGATGTTATATGCTGACGCTATATTTTTAGTAAATCTAATCTTTTAGTAGTAGCTCGGTGGCGTAGTGGTAAGTGGCGGCCCGCGATCGTTGTCGTTAAGCAACTTTGGCAAAGGTCGGTCACGGGATGGGTGACTAAAAAATTATTATCTCAAACTACTTCGTGCTTCGGAAGGCAAGTTAAGCCGTCGGTCCCGGCTGCATTTGCAGTAGTTAATGCCCTCGAATCCGCATTGGGCCAGCGTGGAGGGTCACGGCCCATCCTCCTTAACCATCCATAGGGAAGGCCTGAGCCCCTGCAGTGGGGACGTAAAAGGGATGATGATGAATCTTTTTGTAAATTTAGGCTTCGCGATACCTGAGGTCTCAGTTCGATGCTCGTTCAGGTCAGTTGTAGAAATAAACTTTTCTGCATTGTATTTTCAGATTTTTTTTAGAAGTACCGAAGTGTTTTAGCTGTTTGGAACCTAAACAATATGTGTAATTTGTTCAAATTTTCAATTTAACATTGATAGAAAAACTACTATCCTACCTTTCTAAATTGAATCGCAACTATAAATTCTCTTTACAATGACTTTCTATTTTAATAAAAGGAAATCAATAACGAATGAATCACAAAAGCTTTCACACTAAAACTAAAAAGTCAAACATTCGACTATAAGTTGTAACATATTTTATTGATTTAGGAATGAAGATTGTTTTTACTTTCGTTCGCAATCCTGCTGAAACTTCAATTGGTATTTTCGAAAGTATTTGATATGTGAGTAGTATATGATATAAATGTACTTTAAACTTTGTAGAAACAGGTAAACGAATAAAAAACTGAACGATTAATATTTTCTATTACTTTAAAATGCCGGTGAAGAGTGAATTGGATTAATGAACTTAATTCAAAAAGTAAATTATAAAAAAAACATATTTAATGTAATATTTTATGCAAAATAGCCCACTTTTCTGACTTGACTTCAAAATAATGGGCCTAAAATTAAAAAAAGATAGTCGCCTGTTTTCGTAAATTTCTTTGAGACTTCATTTTAGATGCTATTACAAATATATTATTTGAAATTTTCACGATAAGCCAAATTGATTTTATAACTTATGTTGCATTTTCGTTTTTTATTTACCGACTTTCATATGTACACATATGTACCAAATTCTAACTCAATTAGCCTAATAGCTTTGATCTAGTCCGGCTGTGATAGACAGATTGATGGACAAGCAACAGACAATACGTGTAATATTTTGAGGTTACACATTTTTCCTTTTAAGTTACGAAACTCTTAAAATTTAATAGACTATATACTACTCGTGCGTATTCTCCAAAAACGGAATTTCATCTGCTTTCGAAATGCTAATAAAGAAACGCATTTTTCGATAAATTAAATTATATTAAAACGGTTGTAGGGCCTATAATGTGTAGCCTTTAATGTACAGATAATCTTCAAGATATGATGTTAACGAAATTATAAGACCAATCAGAAATTTTATGGATATGATGTAGTTCAATTATTTTCAATAACAGCTTATTTGGAATTTACTTATTTATAGAAAACCAGTTTAAAGTTATTAATTTTTAGTGGACACGGCCTCTTAATAATATGCAGTTGTTCTTAAATATTTCGAGGTACGCAGCAAATAAACAACCGTCACCATGATCTTGTTTACTACACAAAGGTGTCGATCAAAAAGATCTTTGCCAATCCTTATATGTATGTTGGTATTTTGAATAACGTAGGTAGTCACTAAGCTTAAGAAGCCTTTAATAAAGTTCTTTTACAGACGAGTACACCTCAATCCGTGTGTAATTTATCCAAAGTTTTATTTGTCATTAGTTATATAAGTCATTAAAGTGAGTAAC